GGGGCCGGGGAAGGGAGGGAGCCGGGGCCGGGGAAGGGATGGAGCCGGGGCCGGGAAGGGATGGAGCCAGAGCTGGAGCTGGGGCCGGGGAAGGGATGGAGCCGGGGCTGGAGCTGGAGCCAGAACCCGGGAAATGCTGGAGCCGGGCCCAGAGCCACGGCCGGGGAAGTGATGGGACCAGAGCCGGAGCTGGGACCGGGGCTGGAACCGGGGTGGAGCTGGGGAAATGACAGAGCTGTGGCTGGGCCATGGCCGCTGCGGTGCCGCCACCTGCTTGCCCCCAGGCCTGTGCGGTGGCAGCGCCTCGGGCAAGACGACAGTGGCGACGCGGATCATAGAGGCGCTGGACGTGCCCTGGGTCGTGCTGCTCTCCATGGACTCCTTCTACAAGGTGAGGGCCGGCGGGGTTGGCATGGTGCTGAGCAGTGACGGTGTCCGCGGGTTGGGGGTCCGGCGCGGTGCTGAGCGGTGACAGTGTCCGCGGGTCGGGGGTCTGGCGCGGTGCTGAGCGGTGACGGTGCCTGCAGGTGCTGGATGAGGGGCAGCAGGCGCTGGCGGCCCCCAGCGACTACAACTTCGACCACCCCGATGCCTTTGACTTCGAGCTGCTCGTCAGCGTTCTCCGCAAGCTCAAGAAGGGCAAGAGCGTGAAGGTGCCGGTCTACGACTTCACCACGCACAGCCGCCGCCGCGAGTGGGTGGGTGCCGCCGGGGAGCCGTGCCAGGCACTGGGAGGGCAGGCGGGCCAGGTGCTGTGGGGAGAGCCCCCGGGAAGGGGGGAGAGGCCTGTGGGGCAGGGGTAGGGAGTGGGGATGTGGAAGCAGGGACCAGCGCAGAGTTCGGGCAGCAGCTGCAGCGCGGAGCATGAAGGAGTGCAGGGAGGATGGGGGCTGGGGAGAGGTGTTGGGCAGAGGTTTGTGGTTCCGGAGCAAGGCACTGGGTTCTGGGTCAATGCAGGGCTGGGGCATCGAGCGCAGGGGTGAGGAAAAGGGCCCTTAAAGGCTGGGTGATGTCGGGTGGCTGTGGGGGGTTCTGCCCATGGGTGGTGAGAGCACGGTGTGGGTCAGGGGTTGGGGCGCTGTCTGTGCCGAGCGTTGGCGTTGCTGCGGTGTGCGTGAGGGGGGTGGGATGAGTACGGCTCTTATTTGCCCACAGAAAACGGTGTATGGGGCCAACGTCATCGTGTTTGAAGGGATACTAGCTTTTGCGAACAAGGAGTTGCTGAAGGTATCGCTGCCTGATGTGGCTGGTGGCCCACCTTGGTGAGGGGCGCGGGAGGAGGCGTGCGGTGGTGTGCTGCGGGTGGGATGAGGCCCAGCCCTCGGTACCGCCGGGGCAGGGTGGTGGCCAGGGGCTGCAGAGGGAGAGGTCACCCACCGCTTGCTGGCAGAGCACCTCCGTGTCAGAGGCTTCAGGGGAGGCAGCGCTGGATGCCATCGCTGTGGGGGATCAGACCTGGCTGGGCTGTGGGCGAGGGGAACGAGGCAGGACTGATGGGGGGCTGCACAGGGGGTGCTCACCCCTCCCAGTTTTCCAGCTCCTAGACATGAAAGTGTTTGTGGACACGGACTCTGACATCCGGCTGGTGCGGCGGCTGCAACGCGACATCATGGAACGTGGGCGTGACATCGTGGGTGTCATCAAGCAATACAACAAGTTTGTGAAGCCGGCCTTCGAGCAGTACATCGAGCCCACCGTGCAGGTTGCCGACATTGTGGTGCCCAGGGGTGAGACTGCGCGGTGTTTGCCAGACCCGATCCGAGCATCGGGAGCGGGTGTCCTGGGTTGGGGTTTGGTCAGCGTGCATCTGACCCGGATTCTCCGCTCTCTTGTCAGGTGGGGAGAACTTTGTGGCCCTGGACCTCATTGTGCAGCACGTGCACAGCCAGCTGGAGAAGGTGAGGTGTGGGCTGATGGATCGCTGCTAGCGCAGGCGAGGAGGAGGAGGGTTCTGCACGTGGAGGAAAGGATGTGGCTGGTCACAGCCCTGTGCTCCTGGAGCACCCAGAGGCTCTTGGTGTCGCCTCTCCCTTCACAAAAGGTCTTAGCGCAGCTCTCGGAGCAGACAGAGCTGCGACGCGGGGGCTGGGGAAATGGAGATGGGTCTGGGCACGGCGCCCGCCCCGGCAGTGACGCCTGGCACTTGTGGTCTGGCCTGGCCTCATTTGCCTGCTGTCCCCCTCGGTCCCAGTCAGCCCTTCTGACCTCAGCCGTCCCCACCTCGCTCGCCCCTGGCTGCGCCCCGGCAGCCCGCCCTTGCCTCCCAGCTGTGGCCAGCGGTGGTTTTCCTGCTCTTGGTTTAGCCCCAGGAGAAGGGGTGGGAGCTGGACGGGGGCTGCCCGGTGGCTGTGCCTGGCCTCTGCAGTGACCGGGTGTCCTTTCTTTCCCCTTTTGCCATGCTGGATGACTCCGCTCTACCACCCAGCGTGAGATCACCGTCAGGTATGTGGGGACCCTGCCAGCCGCAGAGGGGCTGGTTCCTGGGCTGGGGGTGGAGGGCTGCCAGCACCCACTCTTCTCCAAGTCCTGCCTCTTCTCTGTCCCTGCTGGCCAAAGCTTTGCTGAGATGCCTGGGCGTAGCTGCTCTTCCTCGACTGCCGAGGTGGCTGCCCTGCAGGCAGCTTCTTGGGGGTTGTATCGCTGTGGCTGCAGGCTCCTGTGTAACCCATCCCATGGCAGCTACGCTTGACTCGTGTGACTGGCTCCCTGCGCTGCTCCTGTCCCTTCCTGGAGTATGGCTCCTGCCCTGAATGCTGGAGTGCCCCAGGCTGCTCCCTTCTGTGGGAGAAGTGCCCTGGACAGCCCTCCGTGTTCCCTGGCACACCGTGTAGGCAGCCTCAGTGGGACAGTCCTCGTACCTCAGTGCAACCCAGGCAGCCCTGTCCCAGGATGTGTAGCAAGGTCTTGCCCATGCAGAGCTGCTGCTCCCGCTCCCGGCGGAGGCTCGTGTGTGTGGAGGCAGCTGGATTTGTGGTCAGGGGAGGTTTGCCCCAGGTTTACGGGGTGGTACTGCTTTGGGATCTCGTACCTGGTGCCAGGTGTGGGGCTTTCCTAGGGATCAGGGCAGGAAGGCTTAGCGCTTTCTGGTGTCCAGCCTGTGCAGTGGGTTCTCCAGGAGGAGCCTTCCTTCCGTCGGGGGCCATGCCCTCCTCTGAGGGGGTCCAGCACGGTGGCTCTGTGCATGTGCTGTGCAGCTCTGATCACTGCTTCCTTGTTGCAGGGCAGCTCTGGCCTCTGCCCACCAAGGGCAGCCCCTGCCGAAGACGCTGAGCGTCCTGGAGAACACACCGCAGGTGCGAGGCATGCACACCATCATCAGGTAGGCGCCTGCCTCCCTCAGGATTTCTTCTGTCCCTCACAGAAGTGCTGTTCTGTAGGATCACGCTCCAAAACCTGGTGTGAGTTTTCCCTCCTCTGCCTTTAGGGCTTCAGACGTAGGTGTCGTCTTGGAGCAGGACTGCTGAACATAGCGGGCTCCAGCCTACAGGCACTTTTTTGGCAACAAGACCTTGGCACATCTGCCCTGGGGTGACTTTTGAGCCACAGGCAGGCTTTTCGTATGATGAGAGGAGACTGGTTAGCTCTTTCCTAGCTGAAGCACAGGCCTAGCAGCTGGTGGCCCGGGGTGAGGTGCCCTTGCTGCCTCTCTGCTGAGGCACTTGGTTTTAGAGCCAGCTTACAGAAGGGACCCAGGCTGCTGCTTCCATGACTTCATTGCTCACTTGATCTTTTCCTTCCCCACTGATGCTCCTTTTCTCCAGGTGACAGTAGTGTTAGCGAAAGGTCAAGAGCCAAATCCCATGGGACCACTAAGACGTTCCTTGTTACTGCGGTTGCAGGAGCTTGCAGCCTCTGTGTGCGTTTCTGTCGCTGGATTGTAAAACAGAAAGGGGACGCTGAGCTCAGCAGGGCTCTTCTGCGCCTGCGCACACTGTGGCTGGCTGCCGAAGCCCTGTGTTGTCATGAGGTTACGTTCTCCAAAACCAGATGCAGGCTGTGCACCTCCTTGTAGGAAGCGAGGTGTTCCTTCTCCAGGCTCCTCCCGCGACTCCTCCCCGTCGAAGCGCGGGCTCCAAAGGCAGCTCACAGCAGGAAAAAGCCAGGTGATGTGGCACCTTACGCGCACTGGGCAGAGACCTGTGCCGGTGTCTGAAGCCCACGTACCTCACCCCTAGGCTGTGGACTTCTAATAGTTCATCTGCTGTCCGTGCGCTCAGTGGTAGATGAAAGTGGAAGGGAGATCCTGGGGGAACGGCACCTCCAGAGGCTGAGTGTTGTGCGCTGGCAAAGGAGCAGTTTTCCCTTACCCGGGGTTGTGCAGGGAGAGAAGAATGCAAGTCTTTGTGCGGCAGCCGTCGCTCGCCTTCCTGTTCACAGGCTCTGGCACGGACCTTTGGCCTGCAGCTCCTCCTGTTGCCTGGGCAGAGCCACTGAACGTGAGCCTGGGCTGATCCGTTAGCAGTGCCAAGTGCCAGGTCTGACCAGCCCGCGTCCGGAAGGGACGGCACCGTGGGCAGGCACTAAATCCTCTCTCATCTGTAGCTGCTGTTCCCATCTTCCTCCTTGAAGTGCGCGTCCTTTTGCCTTGCCGGGAATGGCCTGTTGTGCCTCTGCCTTTACGCCACAAGCGTCTAATAACCTTAATCTGCTTAGACTTGGGAGTTTGTTCAGCTGCCCCGGGGAGGGAGGGGATCAAACTCGTGCAGGCTGTGGTTGGAGTCCAGCAGCGCCGCTGATCTCGGGTTACTGTAGCGGCGCTGTGCTTCTGGAGCCGGCCGGTGCGAGCGGCAGGGCTGCGGGAAGGCGGACTTTGCCTCTTCCAGATGGTAAATGCAAAACACCACATTTATGAGGGGCGTTGACTTGGCCTGTCAGCCACCCCCTCAAATCCTGCTGCAGCCCCAGAAAGCAAGGAAAGCTGAAGCAGTGCTGTTACTAAGATCGCTGAGCTGAGGAACTCTTCTGCTAAAAAGTCCCTGTATTCAGCAACAGCAAGGCAGCTTGTATTTCTGGTGGTTGTAGGTGATACTTGGCAGCACTCGTTTGCTTCTGCGTGACTTCAGCATGGTGTAGAACTGTTCATGGTCCTCATGTGTGACCTCCTGGGCTTCCCCCTGCTCCAGAGGCGCTGCTCCCCGCCTGCTGACGCTCTCCTGGGCTCCCTGGCGAGGTCCAGACTGGCAGGGCATTGAATCACGCCTTTTGCCAAGCTTCCCACACCTCGGTGCGTGCAGTTACTGTGTCTTGGCAAATCCAATCTCTCGTCTTCCTTCTGGCTGCTGCGGTGCTGTCGGCCCCTTTCCGCGGTGGCAGCCCTCGTGGAGTGCTGGTGCTCCCACCAGTACTGCCTTTCGGAGTGCCTTGGCACACCAAACCCGGCGTCTGTGGATGCGCCAGAGAGCTGTGAACCAGGATTTCCCTCCAGCCTCCCTTTTTCCATCCTGCATTCCCAGTGCGGCTCCCTTGGAGACAGCCTGTTGATCTCGGCTTGCCAGGCTGCTGCCGGCCAACGTTGTTTCCCTGTTGTTCAACACTGGAGGCCCTTCTGTGCTTCAGCCTTCTGTCTCTGAGGGCCCTCCTGGAAGATTATCTTGTGGCAGGAGATGAGCATCTCGCTGAGTATAGTCATGGCAAATTCAGGCTTGGCATCTTGGGGAGAAGTGGTTTCCAGAGTGATTTTCTGTTACTGTGGAGAGGCAGAAACTGAAAAATAGTCCTGCACTAGAGTAGCTGAATTATTTTATTCGTGATCAGGCTGAGGATGGACAGTGTAATAAGGGTCATATCTTCCAACTTATGAGACGCTTCGGTATCGGGTCCAGATCACCGGAGTCAATAGGAGCATTTCGTGCCACCCGTCAGGACTCTGCAGGGCCTGAACAGTCCCTTCTGCCCCCCAGCAGCCCTGAAGCATCTTGGGCTCTCTCTGCCGCAGGAGAACGGCAATTCCTTTCCACCGCTTGCTTCTTGGTACCCCCCCGCTCGTGGAAAGGCTCCGGGACATCCCCTGCGGCACAGCCTGTGGGTGGCGTGGGTCGCCTGCCTCTCTTAGCAAGCTTGCTCCGGCCCGAGCCTTTGGACTTTGTGCTCTGGCAGGACACGTCATCCTGCGCTGGAGCTGCCCTCGAGAAGCGTGTGGCTGTTGGTGCTTCGGTGAGAGGCAGAGCGAGGTGCTCCCTGCATGCCGGGAAGTTACTAATGCCGGAGGAGGTGCTTCAGACATGAAACCTGTCCGTGCTGAAGTTTCCCAGGGGCCCGAATGCGATGGCTGGCTTTCAGCTACAGACGCTCCTGTTCGTGAGCTAAGCTGACACCGTGCTCAGGCTCCCAGCCAGACGCTTGCTGGTTCCCGTCAGGCCACCCGGTGCTTTTCTGCCATCTCCTGCTGGGAGTGCCAGGGCTGATCGAGGTCCTCGGGAGCTGCTGGCTGCAGTGCTGCTGTGCCCAGCTGCAGGCTCCCGGCTTGCGGGGGTGTGCGCGCTGCCTGGGGTTCGGCTGCCCCCGCCGCCGAGGGGTGGGCAGCGCCTGGAGCGGCGCATGCCCTCGGGCTTTGCCTGGGCGATGGCAGGAGGGTCCGAGCCCGTGCTGTTGCGCAGCAGGGTGAGCAGGCCTGGCGTGTGGGTGGCCGTGTCCCCTTTGGGAGTGCATGGAGGCATGGCTGGAGCGATCCCGCTCTCTGACCGCTGCGGGGAGGGTCCCCCCCTGCTGCCAGGGGATGTCGGGGCTGCCCTCCCTTGCAGCACCCCTTCCCCCTTGCATCGTCAATGGTTGCTTGTCCCCTGGGTGAGGAGAAGTTTCTTGGTTGTCTTCACCTCTGCATGAAAAGGGAGGCACGCTGGGCCTTCACAGTGCAAGGACCGAGGATACTCCTCCCTCCCCGGCACTCCTTTCGGAAGCTGTGGAGGAACCTGCTGCTGCGGGAGCACCAATGGGCCTGTCGCACCCAGATCAGGGGCTGGCCGGGGCGGCCGACTGCCCCCACCCGCGGCGGAGCGGCCGTGGGGCCAACAGGGCCAGCGTGGGGCTCGTCGGGGGCGGCTGGGTGGGAGGCACTGCCCATGGAGCCAGGGCTGCTGCCGGGCCTGTGCGCCTGGAGCTCGGGCGGTGCTTCCGAAGCTGCCGTGGGCGAGCACGCGGGCGCAGCCCACCCGCGAGGGAGCGCCTGTGCCGAAAGCCCACGCTGAAGAGCTGTAGGCAGGGCGCCGCCTTCTTCCAGACCCAAACTGATTTTCTGACCTCTCTGGGAGTGCCCCGCTGCCCCCAGGCTCGTTGGAAATGTCCACGTTGGTTGGGTTTTCTGGTCGCTGCGGAGCTCTCGGGTGCGAGCTGCCCAGGGCTGGCCGCAAAAATATCTCAGGATAGTAGCGACTGTTTATCCTTCTCCTGAGCACTGTTGGCTGGGCTGTCTGTCATCGTGGTGAGATGTGAGAAGTGGCAGATGATGTCTTAAAATACAGAGTAAAAATATTCAGTATCCTTCTGCCTCTTGTGGACTGTTGCCAGTTCCACCTCCTCCATCTGGAAACTGGCAAATGTCTGTACGATTCCTTTGTTCCTTACACTCCCCAGAAAACACCGGGGGCACACGCAGGCCGCGCTGCTTTAGACAGAGGTCACAGAAGAGAAAAGGCCTTTCAGCTGCGTCTTGTTAACCACAGGCCTTCGGCCTCAGTCTGCCTCTTGGTTATGGTTCAGCCGGGGAGCCAGGAGCTTGGTCTTGACAGCTGCCCAGTGAAATGGCACTTACATTACTGCTACTTACTCCTTTGCCAAAGCAGCCACAGACGGTGGGAGCTATAGGTGGACATCAGTAGGTTCTTTATGGTCACGTTTTAAATGACAAGCGCATCTTAGATTCTCCTCCTTTTCCTGCTGCGTGACCTCTTGCTGTAGGTACTTTGCCTTCAGGCACTTGACACTGACGGTGCTGGGGGAGGAGCTGTTCTGCTCACCTGAAAATACCCTCTGAGTAACGTGGGACTGGGTCCCGCCTGTCGTTACGTGCTGTACACGCTCGTCTTACCGTGCTTTGAGAACTATGTGTTGCAGGAAGCGCAAGGTTTTGTGCAGCAGTTTCTTTTGTGGGACGAACAAGTTAAGACTACGACACGTATGTGTGCTGATGGTCAGAACGCTTCCAGCAAGAAAAGCCAGCCTCTTTCCCCCTCTGCCCCGGCACGGGGATTAGCGTGCGTGCACGTACAGTTGGCTTTACTCCTCCTGAGGGGGAAGGGGAGGTTTCCTGTGAATTGCAGTCCCATTGTGGTTTTATTCTCGTTTCTATTAATTTTATTTATTTTATTTCTTGCTGCCCTCAGCACTTCAGTGCTGTGATAGCACCAGGTATTTCAAAATCTGTCTGCTTCCCGGCAGTAGTTTATCTCTAACTTGGTACGTAGATGAGTTGAGAACATGTCCGATGTTTTCCCGTTGACGGTGTCAGGTAGCCCAGCTGCTCTGGGCCGTGGCGCAGTCCGGTCTCTTCCACGTTGAGGCGTTCCCAGAGCCGTCTGTCCTGCTGCGCTGTGGTCCGTCCTGGTTGTGCTCCTGCTCCACCTCATGCTCCCGTGGCAGGGCCCGTGCAAAACACGTGCCGCTTGCTCCTTAGTTTCTGTTGCCCCAAGAACCGATGGTGCTGCCTGACGTTCTGCTGCTCCCGCCCCCTGTTTTTCTCCTGGCTCGTTCCACGTAGTCAGCAGTTACGTCCTAAATCTCCAGCCCTGCAAATCCTCGGCAGGGATTCAGCAGCGATTAGAGGTCGTGCTCAGAGCGAGTAATGCTGCGCTTCCGCGCTTGCTTCTCGGGCACCTGCCTCATCTGCGTACAGGGTCAGGGTGTACATCTACACCAGGCTGCTCATGTTGCGCTCACTTATCTCCTTTCTGCTGTTGGCTTTACTCACTTTGCCAGTCTAGCTAGCCCACCACGCGGAGTCAGCTGAACTGTCCCAAAGAGGACAGCAGCATCGTGTGGCATCCTTTCACTTTATCCGATCTGCATGATCTGCTGCAGCCTTTACGTCCCCCTTCCAGGGGAACTGAACGTGTTTCTTGACCGTGTGGTCCTTTCTAGAGAACACCCTAGGTCTTCAGCAAGCCCTGAAACATCAGTGCTTACTGTGTCCCTTCCCTGAGAGCGTCCAGGCTCCCACGGACTGCTCTCTGTTTGTGCCGGCCTTCCTCCAGAGCCCTGTTTGTCATCTGCGGGGTGGAGCAGGGACTCTGTTCATCTCATAGAATCACAGAATCGTTAGGGTTGGAAAAGACCTTTGAGATCATCGAGTCCAACCGTTAACCCAGCGCTGCCAAGGCCACCACTAAACCAT